CTTGTTGGAGATGGTTATTTCCTGATTCTTGTGTGTGTCACAACTGTCACTGGCCATTTATCAAACCAAACCTGATTATTCAAGGAATTGTAAATGGTACTGAACATGGTGCAATCCCTACTTCTGACCTTATGGTGGAGGAATGCTCATTGATTAAAGCAACTAAAAGTGCTTGGGCCTAAGACACTAGCAACTGTTGCAGTGATGTCGTTGGCCTGAGATGATTGCTCTCCAACAACCTCAACTACTTTCCTTTATTTTAGGTATGTCTTCAGCCAGTATCAAAAATTTTTTACACCCGATTCACAATTACTCAATTGTACTAGAGCTTCTTGATGCCATACTCAGTCAAATGCTGTGTTGATGTCAAGAGCAGTCATCTCATCTCAGTTCAGGAAGTCAGCATTTTTGTACATGTTTGTGTCATGGTTACAACAGGATCTGGAGTCAAGTGTTAGAAAGGAAGCTCAGCATCAATCAGTAGGTCGGTTATTGGTAAATATGTGCCACTTTGTTGCAATGTTGATGATACCTTCTATCAGTTTGCTCATGATTGAGAGTGGATTCGTGGGGTGATTATGGATCACATTGGAAGTGTCCTGCATGTTGTGGACAGCATATTCCGGGGCAATTTTTCCACTTTTTCAGGAGATACCAGTGTTATACTTCAACAGCTTGTTTAAAGCACAGCTGTAGAGCACAAATCTTCAGCACTACAGCTGGAATGTTGTCAGGGCCCAAAACCTTTTCTGTATCCAGTGCACTCAGCTGTTTCTTGATACCAAGTGAAGCAAATTGAATTGGCTGAAAACTGGCATCTGTGATGGTAGGAGAAAGCAGAGGTAGACCATCTACCAGAAACTTTCCTTTGGCTAAAAAGCGGTCCAGACCTTTCAGTCTTGTCTTTTGATAATTTCTATGTCCTCAGATTGTGAGCTAATTCTGATCATGATTTTACAGTATGGACTGTTTCCTTGTTGGTTGTAAAGTACATTTGGCATTCTCGGATGGTGAGGTTTCTCACCCCCTCATCCAAAAAAGCCAACTTGAAATGCATCCATGTCAATCACAGCTGACCCGCAGCCTTTTAATGCTCAGAGGAGTGTGTTAACTGGCTGAAGATGGTACTTCAGTCCCTCACCTGTGCACATGTCCCATCTCAGAGACCCAGCTAGCTGGTCTGATTGACCAGCAGCTCTGTATTCTTAGCAGTGTCAGCGGCAGCAGTAGCTAATGATACAAATGGTCCCCAGACTGAGGTGAGACCCAGGGGAGGGGAAGGAGGGAGGGGTACAGCTATCCAGATGGAGAGGTGGAATGGCTGAGGGGAAGGAGAACCAAGAGGAAACGGCATTCATCCCTACCAGAGCAGGGTGTCCTGCCAGGTATCCCTCTGCTGTCACCAGCCTCAATACTGAGGGTAAGCAGTGTCCAGTAGTTAGCCATGTAGAGACCTCCTGTAGGGCAGAGTATGGGCAGCACTGCAAAATTGTGGATATGTTGGCAGGTGGGAGTGCAGCAGGTAGGTTCCAAAGTCAGATTTACGGGCTTTGCTCCCTCAGCAACCCATCAGCAGGACACTGTAAAATCCTGGCCATTCTTCCAGAAAATTTTCCTTAATATATTGTTGTAATTAAATGTCTTTATTGGCTGTGACTCTACTTGAACTCTTCTGTTTCTACCAGTCTGTGATAAAACTAAAATCTCTGATTATAACCACGTTGTTTTTGCTGCATGCTTCCAGACCTCTGTATAAAGTAGTTGAATGCAGCACCATGGCAGGGAATATGTTGACAAGTCCTAACAATCTTGTGATCCTTTGCTGTTCATTAACCTTACCAATAGTTATTTAATTCATATTAATTCTAATTTGGTTAAATGTTTATTTGGACAATTGATGCTGTTAAATGAGTTCATCCAGTGGCTGGACAATGTCTGCTGGACAACAATTCCTGGACTTTCTCATAAGCCCCAAAGTCAGTCAAAATATTTACGTATGGCCTCATTACCCTGAATGGAATCTTTTATTTTCACTGTGTCTTAATTGTATCTTTTACTAATAACATTGCTCCTTCTTTCCCAATCTCCCTTTCCTTCCTAAAGATCCTATAAGCCTGGAATATTTAGCTTCCAATCTTTGTATTTCTGACACATTTGGTTCACCTATTATGTTACATACATTTATGTACCATCCTCTTATCTGTGTAACTGTCACCATTCTAGCTAGTTTTAAAAGCTTTCTCCGAGCCATTTTTTTTATCATTTGTATAGCTGTCCTGGGCCCAAAAGTGGTCTCAAGGTCCCAGGAATCTCTCATCACACTAAAACCTTAGCAGTTCTAATATTGCTCTGTCTGGCTCAGTATTTTGCATTGGGAGTAATCCAGAGATTACAACCTTGGGGATTCTGGTCCTTAATCTAAACTTAATTCACTGAAATCCCTTCACAGAACATTGAATCTACTCTAATTTCACCATTAGTTTCTTCCATGAAACTCAACCTTCGGATTCGTGTTTTCTATTCACTGTGCCATGGCTCAATCTTTGATGCTTAGGAAACGACTTAACTTGGGGCTTTGGATCATGTTTATGAATAGAACCAGGGGCAACCTTTTTACACAGAGGGTGGTTCGTGTGTGGAATGAACTGCCAGAGGAAATGGTAGATGCAGGTACAGTTACAACATTTAGTGGACATTTGGACAGGTACCCATTAGTAGGAAAGCTTTAGAGGGATATGGACCAATGCAGGCAAGTGAGACTAGTTTTATTTGGGAAACTTGGTCAGCATGGATGAGTTGGACAGAGGGTCTCTTTCCATGCTGTATGACTATGACTCTATAACTATCCTGACTGTAGAATACTCCATAATATGGGTTCCCAAATATGTAACCACTAGCTCCTCACTGCCTTGCAGTCACCTACAATTATCCTCTGCATTTGACCCCATTATTAGTATCAAAGCAGATATTAAACATGAGTCCAGCTCCACAAATTATACCTTCCTACCCTGTCTGGCCATGGTCACCCAGGTCCCTTGAGCAGCTCCACCCTCTGGAAGCTATTCCATCTAACTTTCTCCCTGTCAAATGTTACTGAGTAGGCCCAGATTACTTTCAAGCTATGCAACTTTCTTCCTGAGGACTGTAACTAAACTGTATTCATCCTGGGTAGCATGATTTGTTGCAGGTCCATATTAAGCAAATCACACACATCACTCTAGTTTCTGATTTTGCTATGCTTATTTATATACTCCAGCCCAACAGAAATTGAATGGTCACTATTTACTCACACTAACTTTAACTTAACTTCTTAACTTTAAAGTATCATTCTATTCTACCTCCTGAAGCTGTTCTACTGTACAATAGATTTGAAGAGAAAGCCTGGTGATAAAACACTGGACCTCCCTCTTATGCCAGGTGCCTGTGTCAAATGGATCAAAAGATTGATACACTGAGTACACTCAGTATCTCACTGTTACAATAAGTGTAACAAAATCTAACTCACCAACTGTCAACCAACAGGTGCGAAACTTCACTGGGCCAGCAACCCCAATAAGAGAAGTCCACAAATCCAACAGATGTTGTCTTTGCTGCGTCTTCTCTGTTCAGGGGGCCAAGGACTCAATCCCTAGTCTGTCCTGATGTCTTGATGTGTACCAGACAAATGCACATCAGTCAGTGTGCATGTCACTGTCTCTGTGGTTCAGTTCTGCTTATCATTTAAAACCTGTAGCACATCTCAGATGGTGCAGTTGAACAGCACCGTTTTGTTATGTGGACACAGGCCATTCAGATCAGCCAGTCCACGCTGGTGTTTATGCTCCACTTGAGCCTTCGTCCATTTTTCTTCATCTAAATCTACCATCAAAACCACTAATTCCATTAATCCTCAAATACTTGTCTAGCTGCTCCTTTACACAGTTCTTCTGTTCATGCGAATTCTGTACACTTGTCCTAAAATGTATTCAATAAAAATTCATCTTCATCTACAATCAAATATCTAATCTTACAAATCTTACAATGGAATTGTCAGCACTATTTCAGCATTTGAAACATACTATGGGTTGAACAATTGATTTGATTTGCTTTTAAACTTTAATTTTATAATAATTGGCATTGGAACTACAGCACCTGTTTGGTAGAATGATTTTATATTTCTGCTTTGGTATATTGATGCTCAGGTAAAAGTCTATCATTTTCAAATAATAATCTCCTATTTTTGTTTTTGGTGATCCTGAATCCCTTTTGGAGAATAATAGAAAAATGTGTTTATTTCAATAACCTTGCTAATCTGTGGGTGCTGAGTTTGTCTCCTTTACAATTACAATATCAGTAGTGGAAATACAACATAGTGAGCGCTTAAATCTACTTTATTTGCGTAATCTCATACCCAATGTCAAAAATAATTTCACTGCTCACTTGTACTCATATGATGTAAAACTTTTGAGTGACACACCACGTGTAATAATCTGTTCTGCATACAGAAAGATTGAATGCGTAGGCGATTAAGATCTTAGATCTCTTGTACCTTCCTTAGCTATTTCAAAACCAGTTGTTGAGTGTCTCTCATCTTTTTTCCTAAAAGCAATGTTTAGCAATATTAAATTTTGCCTGCCATTCTTGTGCCCACATACATTCTTCTAGACTTGTTCTGGAATTTCCCAGGTTCCTCTTTTATTTTTACTGATTCTTTCAATTTGCAATGAACTTTTGAGCCAATTCCTGGATATAAATTAGAAACAGTAGTCCCAACACTGTTAGAATCCGTGCAGCAAACTTCCCAGAGATTTCTTTGGTCTTGACATTCCTGTTCCAACTAGTCCTTGCTGTTTTTCACCCTGCTACCCATTTCTTATCCATCTTCAAGATTAACGGAGAAATTATACAGTTCATAATTAAAGGCTTTTCATCCTGAAATTTGACAAATACAAATTTAGTACACAATATTGTAGAGCTCACTAGTCTAGGGAATTTGAGAAATTAGAACTTCCAAAGCTTTGTTATCTGTTGGTTAGTTTATTGTTTGCATAGATGTTATGAAGCCATTGTACATTTTGATTGCATGCATTATAAATTAGGAGAGCATATTGATCCACCCAATTTTCTTGGTTGTGGGCAATGCAGGTCCAGGAGATGAGGCATTCTGTATTAATAGAAAACAATGTATATTAGTGGTCATATTAGTTGGGGTCATGACCCCTTATGGTCTGTGTGGGTTGTTTTGTGACAATGCATGTGCCCACTCAGTCTCACATTTCCATCACTGTATTTACATTTCCCTGTAGATGGCAGCAGAGCAATGACCTTTTATTAAATAATCAGCGGGTGGCCATTTATTTAACATTTTTTGCACATAATGAGCAAATACGACCAATAAGTGGTTTACTAACGAACCCAGAAAAAAAATCTCGGAAATGTGAGTATGCAAATAGTTATTTATATTCACCTCTGTCCAGTACAGGTAGCAGAATTAATTCAATAACAATTTTTAAACATGTCTTTGACCAGTGGATCGGATTGTTGGGCTTGTAATAAAGTGAAACATTGCTCAAATCGTGGTGGTCTTTAGGATCGGTCGGTTTAGCAACTCTTCTGCCAGAGGCTAACTTTATTAATAGTATCTGGTGCCCAGTGTACCTGAAACTGCACCTTACGCTATTTAAAAGAGCATGTCAAATCTCATATAAATCATTCAGATCATTTGCAGGCACACACAACTGAAATCAAATACAAATGGTTGGGAATAAGATGGTATCATGAACTATTAGGCATTCATAGCTACTTATTACCTGATGATTAACATTCAGAAGCTGCCAGCAATGCCAGACCTGCTGCAATGTTAACACAGTAAACAGAGAATGCAATTTTATATGGAACATATCCGAAAAGTACCCTTTCCGAGATCAAGCTTTTCAGTGCACGGCGAAATCGAAGATGCAATTCAGATTGGACATGTAAACAAGTGAGGATGCCTATTTGCCTCTGATATGGGCAAATGCACCGTTGCCTGGCAATATTGGCAGGTTCCATGTTGTTGCTGCAGAGATCCAGATCGGGTGACCAGGGTGCTTCTGGTCAGTGGGAGAGGTTGCAGTGGGCTGTGAGCTCAGGACTGTGACCCCCCCTCACTGCCCACATCCAAGGGAAGGCAGTGGGAGATGTGGGACACAGATCCTTAAGGCTCAGAAATGAAACCACCCTCCCCTTCCCACCAACGATGGGGTGCTAAGTGGCTGGCTGAGAGTCATAGCTTTTGCAACAAACGCTCTGCTGACAAGACCAAGGGAGAAAAAAAAGTAATGCGAAAAAAAACCCTGGTTTGTGAGCCTCATCCCCTCCCACTCCATTCCATCTCCTCCCCCCCCCTTTAATGTCCCACCTCAGCCTCCTTTTTTGCATTACTATTGGTGACCTAAGGAATACCAAAGCGGGCTGATCCAATGATGTGGAACCGTGCAACCTATAAAAGCTGGTCCGGAGCCAATCCTCCCGACAAGATATCAGCTTCTGTCATCAGACGGAACCTCTAGTAGATTGTGTGTATATGTGTGTTTGAGGTTGGGACTGCAGCGATGGCGGGATGTTCTTGGGGATACGGACCCAAAAATGGTGAGACTTTTTTTTTACCGCAGTGGCGAGGTAACTGGACTGTAGTCCCCGAGAATGGGCTGTAACTGGGGCTGGACATTGCTGGGCTATAGCCCCCGGGACAAGGCTGTAACTGAGAACTACTGGAGATTCTCCAGGTCAGGCATCGCAGCTAGATTTACATTGCACAGAGAGATAGGGAGGAAAAAATGTGCTAATGCCATTTATTGTGAACCAGGAAAGGGATTTCTTCCCTCTCCGTGATTTTTAATGAAGTGGAATTCTAAAGCTGCTACAACAAGGGCTTGCATTTTTTTAATTGTGAAAGGTCAAATTATTTCTGCAGCTAGTTGTCACGGATAAGAGGTTATTTAGTTTAAGATTAATCATTGATGGGATGAAAGAAAGTGATCCTTTAAGGCTGCCTTTCCTGCTGTAGCTGTGAAACTTTTGAACTAGATGCTGCTTGGTATCGGGTTCGCAATCAGAGGAGAGAGAGAATCATTTTTTTTTCCCTGCTGTCTGAAGCGGGACCTCCCTCCTTCCCGCCCCCAGTCTGTTGAGAATGCATTAAATTGACCTTGAGAGAGGGAGGACTGTGGATGATCGAGTGTAATCCTCTCATGCAGGTCCAGATCACTGGCACGAACTGGGCTTCCCGATTGCCAAGGAGGGTACCCGCCAGTCACCCATCGAGATCAAGAATGCAGAAACCAAGTTCGACCAGAACCTGAAGCCACTTGACCTGAGCTATGACCCAACCAGCTCGAAAAGTATCTCAAACACCGGCACCACCGTCCAGGTGGATTTCGACGATTGCACAGACCGGTCAGGTTAGTAAGATGTTGTGTTTTGACTACTTTCCTCGCCCCTCCCTACCTCCCACCGGCTTCTTAATGGATATTGTTAATACGCGATGCGACGCATTCTGAGCTAGGGATTTGCAGCGGTCACGTATCTCTCACTCTCTCTCTTTCTCCAACTTTCTGCTGTTTCACAACAGAATTGCACTGGTGCCTCGTACATTCCAAATGTACTCGCCGTATGGTTTAAAAAAAACGTTTCGATCAAAGTGCAATCCTTAAAGTTCCCGAACGGCAATGCTGGTGTGAGAAGGAAGAGCAGAGACGGGAGGAAGTTAACGACGTGGCTGTTCCGTTTTTGTTAATCCAGATTTGTATTGCAAACCCCGGGTGGAAGTGCAACAGTAGCCTCAGTGGCCTGTTTGCAGTGGGTAATTTAAATGGGGGGTGTGGTGGAAGGCAGCCAGCTGGGTGGCCAAGGGAGCTGCGAGAATGAAAGGAATCGATCATTTTGAAAGACTGGATTGAATGACGGAGCTGTAAATCTGCTTTGATCATTTGTAATTAAAGTCCATTGCAACTCATAGAAAGAGATCTTTCTTTTGTAGGTGAGCAAAACGTGGCTGCTTGGCTAAATTGTAATATTTGAGGGTCTCGTAGTCAGTTAGGTGATGCTGATCTGTGGGTTTACCTTTTTAAGGAGTAATAAACGTGATTTGCATTGAAAACACTGAGTGTAAATCTCCCTTTCAGATTAAATTTTTATTTTGAGGAAATACTGGAGGATATAGGGGCCCAGAACCCTTTTTCTGGTCTTGCTCTTTTCATGCAATTACTGGAAGAACTACACCCAAGGGTGTGGGTCATTGGGACGATTGTAGGGCTCCTTTTAAGAATCCTTCACTCGCAAACTAAAGATACCACATGCAAAGTTTGCTGTACTGCAAAATTGTTGTAGCTTTGTGTTGATGCAAAATAAGTAAAAACAAGATTAGTTTGATATTCTGTTATGATTTGTCTCAGTGTAAGCTAATGGTGTGGATTTTGAGGGTCAGCCATCCAGCAGAGATGGGAGTTGTGCATTTTGTAGCATACTCCAAAGAAATTTCTGGGGAAGCTGAAGATTCCACTGGAAAATTCCACTTCACCTGGAGCCCACTTAAATCGAGGACTTTGGAGAATTGCAAAGAAATCGAGTAGGAGAAGTTAGACTGTTAAATACATAATCTAACTTGTGATTAATTATTAAAGTGACTTGTACTTAGCCCACAAGCTCCCAACTATACTCCCTCACATCTTAGTTTGCCAAAGCCTGGCCTGCCCCCACTCCACCCCCAGCTGAATGCAGATTAGCCAATTCCCCCTCACCAGATCCAATTCCTCCCAACCAACTCATAATATTGCATGTCTTACCTTGCCACCATGCACTCTGGCACTCTTCTTGGCATCCTGCCCTTACTCGTCTGGTACCCTATTCATCTGGCAGTCTACTGTCCCAGTCCTGTAACATTACACTTAACTTGTGTATTGAAGTTTGACAGCAGCTGTCAGTCTGTCTGAACCCTTTAAATATCAGAAAATAGCAACTGAGTGCTGTGAAAAGGTGAGTGGTTTGCCTTCCTCAGAGCCCTATGCTATGAGAGAATTGTCAGAATGGAAATATGCCTCATGCCTGAGGGAGCCCAGAGCAGAATCTCCTGTCAGAAATTCCTTTTTATTAATAATGTTGGAATGACGATCTGAGATTGCCACTTTTCAGAAAATCCAGCCTGATCAATTCTTCAATTTTTTTCCTTTTAAACTGTATCTTTCACATGTATACTTCTGTCTACTCTTGTAGAAGTTATAAATACAAACTCCCCCTGTGCCTGCTGCAGACCTGAATGCCATTTGGATTATTTTGCATGCAGCCATGTTAATGTCCAACTTGCTTTATGTCTGGATTCTCAGTCCCATTTTCTCTTGCTGCGCACCCTCTGGTTAATGGTCTCCTGCTCCCTGTCTGTTCTGAGATGGAGGATATCGGGCAAGTGAAAAAATATGCCAGAACATTGAAATTGAACAAGGGGAAGTGGGAAATTTGGAGCTGGGGAAAAAAGCCACCATTTTTCTTGATTCTTATTGAAAGTTCAGTTTGCTGCTCCTATTACCCATTATACTTGAACCCTTTGTTAGTGTTCATTTTACGTTCTTTAGTTTTTCTCTTTTGCCTTTTGATGTTTTGGTGGATAATGACACATCATTAATTTTCAACGTCTGTACAACTTGCTGGACCAGGTGTTAGTCTTTTTCTGCGTGTCTTTTTAATTTTGTGTAATGAGATTAGGCTAGAAGTAGCAATGGTTTCATTTCCACTATTTAAGGGAGAGATGGCATAGCTTGGTACAGCATCCCACAGTCAAAATTCTTGCAGTGATTGGAAGTCTGATATTGTATTTATTATTGGTCCTAAAATTTTATCTAGCTTGCTGGTCTTACTATAAATGTACTTTTGTTTTTGGAGGAAATTCCATCCGTCCTCCAACAGCAAATTAGTGGTTTGTACAAACTGTCATTGATACTTTGTTTGCAATGTAACATTCAAGCTTTTACTTTGTTTTAGTGCTGACAGGTGGCCCCCTTTGTGGAAAATATAGGCTACGTCAGTTGCACTTTCACTGGGGAGGCTGTGATACTCATGGCAGTGAACATGTACTTGATGGAAAAACCTTTGCTGGAGAGGTGAGTGTGCAACAATGACTTCTGAGTAAGTGAGGCATACTTTGTTTAAAAATCAGATTATTTTTGCTTCACACAGGAACAGTTTTGCTGTAGATGCCTATCTATGAATGCATAATGTTGTAACAAGTTTTTTTTACGAAAAGATCATTATTTATTCATGGGATGTTGCTGTCATTGGGGCCATTGCCCATCTCTAAGTGCTTTTGAGAAGGTGGTGGTGAACTCTACGTGAGCTACTGCCATTCATTTGTGTGTCGGTTATGTAAGTAGATATACTTGGTCAGAAATATTTTTCACATTTCTTTTATTGTTGTGACATGTTTATTCCTAGATGCTGCAGTTATGTTCTGAACCAGTTGAATTTTGCTATTTATGGTGACAGGAAATGCATCCTATGACAACAGGATGCTAAGTCCGGGAAGGAAACCTATCGCAATCTTTGTAATGAGACAGCAATGCACCAGAGCTATTTAAAGTGGTGGACTAATTAGAGGATGAACTTTTAAGTTTAATTAACACAAAACTAAAATGCTGGAAATGCCCCAGTCTGGAAAGATCGGCAAACGGAGAATTTTAATGGGTTGAATGTTAATGTGTAAGAGCACATGGTGTGTAAGCAGGTGGAGAGTTAAAACCAGGTAAATTCTACAGGAGGTTGAGTAGCTGTGACTCACCTCAATTTATTGCTGCAGTTGGAGAACTTTCTGCAAGTGGTGGGTTCAGTCAGTTAGTGATATTAATATGCAGCTTCCATGCATCAGTTCCCAGGGCACCTTGAAACCTGGTGGAAAACAAGGCTAGGACACATTCTCGGTTGAGAGGCTGAGGATGTGCAGTGGGAAATATGCCAGTAAGTACTGATTTCCCCACAGCTGTTTTCTCACCCATTCACGTGAAAGGCTGTTGCTACAGTTCGTGCTGGGAGATGACTTTCCAAACTCCTTTGGAGATTGTTACATCAGATCTGCACTTTGAAGCTCTGATCGGCCTCAACATGTGCTGTTATTTTGATCCTTATAAGGGCCAAGATGCACAACAGCAGCAACTGACCTGCAGCTTCGCTAGGGAGAGAGGATCAGCTGAGATCCAAATTGGAGGAGGCCACTTTGTATCATCCTTTGTGCCAATCAGATGATAAGCTTCCTAGATATGTTGGATCTCCTCTGAAGGCTGAGTATTGAATCTGATGATGCAAACACTTGCAACCTGCTGCCAAGTGGATATGATGACCATATGTCACCAGTGGCTG